GATAGAGAAAGCTTGCTTTTAAAAACCCCAGGGAATAATCTCGTTGACTTAGAATATGCACACGATATAGTCCTTCTAGGCGAGGACGCTGACAGAATAAAGCAGAGTCTTCTGAACACCTTGACCTGCAATCTACGATGTTTGGCATGCGATTCGCTCCTGCTGTCATATGTAAGATGATGTTACAGGACTGGACTAGACTGACTCCTTGTTTAGAAGTAGGGAGTGAAGTGGTAGAGCACGTTGACCGCTTCACTTATTTGGGAAGTACCATCAGCCAACGCCAATGGGTTGATCTCTGACGAAATCTTCGCACGGATACAGAGGGCTAGTTTCGCATATGCCAGTGGTATAATAAGGTGAGCAATAATGATGTTAGGCATTGGTTGAGTGCTAGGTAGGTGGGAGGGGAAATCAATCGACGAGGCTGTGAAATTACATCGACTGAGATGGCTAGGACATATGTTACGTATGCCTAGTCATCGCCTTCCTCGACTAACGGGAAATGTTAGCTGATATAGGGTCAGGTTGGATAAAGAACTAGCCAGCGGCGGTCAAACCAAAACATGGCTTCATCAGTCAATGAAGTCCACAACAGTTAGTTTAAGCCACGGAGGAAGATGTCGACTTCCTGAGTGGTTGAGGTCTTCGGGACGATAAAAACAGATGGTTGGAAATAATTGGTGACATGGCTCAAAATCGTTCTCAAAGGCTGGCTGGCGCAGGTGCATCCACTCCTTGTGACTTATGACTTCCAATGAAATTATATTGTTCTTCGTTACTACTATTCCTTTGTCTCACACTTCTGTTTACTGTTTCATTTATGCATTTCTTCTGCTTTTTCTCTTCCTTTGTGTGCTGAATTGAGAGAGTGTGATGACTTGAACTGCTGCTCATCGGTGCAAAGTTCTATGTCGAAACAAACAGACAGTTTCGGATTCATGATTGATAAGAATACTTCTACGGGACAAAAGCGTACTTCTTTCCGCTTACCTTACCTTCAGAACCAAACACTACAAAGACATGATTATGAACCGCAAGTAGCTGAGGGTATCTAGATTCATTTTAGACTGTGGGCTCATATCGTGTGGAGTTCGCATCAACAGAAGGAACCTATAATACACACACACACACACCACAGTCTCAAGAGTTACATCAATACTAATGAGGATTAATTATTAACTAAATAAAGTGGAAATGTGCACCTGTGTTATTCTGTATATATTTCTTGAAACAGAAATAAGCCAAGACATACATCCATAAATTGTTTAAAACAATGCATGCATGCTTTTAGTAATATGATACGGTATATATATATAGCATTTCTTTGCCAAATAACAGTTTGTATATGTGTTAAGAAAAATGACATTGAAATGAATTATACATATGTATACATATATACCATATGGTTGATGATCTGTTTACTGGACAAATAGCTGCGCATCACGTTTAACACTTTTCTGACATGCGGCCTTGCCAATATAGTGTCTTCAGTGTAATTGCCAAACTGTGCGTAATGATGCAGATTGCCATCAACCGTGTTAGACAAATAACGAAGCTAGGGGATATGTGAACCCAAATACTAAGCGGTAAGCTCTTAGCAGTAAAGACAGCAATAGTGATGTGACTTACCGGTCTCGGTGCTTATTGCCTAACATGGGGGTGGCGAGTTTCGAATTCTGCTCTACTAATCAAAGTTCGAGAGCCCCATATAAACGGCTTGGTAAGGTTGAGGGTAGACACACTTCGGAATTCTTTTACGCGGCGACGCGTTCATTTCTTCTGTGAGGTGAGTCCCGATCACGACTGGCTTCACGCAGTTGGGATGTTCTTCGCAAACGTTAAGCAATGAATGCGAAAGTCTGAGGCTTACGAAAGGACTGGTTCACATCGTGGTCTACAACCTAGGGAAGCTACGAAACTGTTATTTCAAACACATGGTATACATGGGCTCCAGAATCTGAACATATCGAATAGCCCATGAAACTATTTTTGGTCATGGTCAACCATGGGAACTTTGCTCCTGACGCTGCCCTACTACCTTACCTTGTGCATCAGGCTTCAAGTCAAAAGCTCAAAGGATGGCTCCTCGAAAGAACCACGTGATTCGGTCAGAGGTTGGTTTACACAAGTATGCATCAAGTACACGATAAGAAGGGTCAGAGACGGAAACCATACACCTACAGGTGACAATACTGCTATAGGATAAAAGAAGGAAAGTTCACATGAAGGTATGGTATCAACACATCGATGCCACACTACTGTAATGCATTCAACTAGTCTTTAGTCATAGTTTCTGGTGATCGTCACGAGGATCTATGGTCATTCCTATACGCACACAACGAACTTATGATGTATGAAGTGACCTGAGTTCTACTGAGAGAGAAACCATGACCATTGTAGCCCATAAGGTCGAGTGTAAGTCCTCCCCGGTGACAATGGCGCTAAAAATCGCGAAGTGACAGAAGTTAGAAAATTCATGGGTCGTTATATCTGATCCCATTGGTTGGATAGTCAACGACCTCATTTCGCAATCTAAAAATGCTCGGCTCAATCCTCAGTGGGATCGTGGGTACGTACTGACGAAGAGTCCCAAAAAAGGACGACACAGTTGTCCAGTACTCCCAGCTGGTTTTTAACATTCGCCAAACTGAAGTCAGTTATAGTGATTTAGCTTAAAATGTTTAGCCTATTGGGTTCTCGCCGCATCTTGGCCTGATAACACCACCTGGCTTTCATCATAACACGACATGTCATTGTTCGTTTTTGAATAAAAAGCACAATTGTAGCTGTAAATTTAATGTATCTACGGTGATAGATACATCTTTGTGATGAATCCGGACAAGTGCAGCACCTGGATAAAGTGAGGTTCCACAAGCTGATTTGCTGTTAGAAGTTAGAATTCATGGACCGACCATTGGATCGGGTCCCAGTAGCTTAATGGTCTACGAGCTAGCTCGCCTTGTAACCAGAAGGTCCTGGTTTCGAACCCTGGCGGTGGGTGCATACTGATGAAGAATCCCAAACTAGGCTGACAAAACAGCTGTCCACTACGCCCTGGTTGGTTTTCCAATGGTTGTCCAACTAACATCAGCTCACGATGAAATCCTCTAACCAATCAAAATTAAAGAACAATAAAACAATGCACGCGGAATGATTTGCTCAGCAGTAGGAGTAAGTTTAGTTTAAAGACTTCTGTCAATAGGTGTGACTGAACAGCGATAGTTATTTTGGTTACTAATCGATGACGATTCTAGGTGAGATGTAAAAATAATAAGAACAGGCTCTGGAACATGCTACTTGCAAGTAGCTTGGAATTTACACAGTCCAAGGGGTAAGATTTTACTGCAGTTTCCTATGGGGAACTAAAATGATTCAGATTAAAACGCATGAGATCTTCTGCTTAGTGTATACCTTGGCTTCCATGTCTTACCTTCTGTTATTACATTTGGTCTCACAGCCTGTCGACAAATTGAAGGCCTACGCCCTGAAGTTTTTGAAGAAGGAGACACATAGATCTTCTGGCAGGACTTCGAGTCTGTTGCGGATTTGAATGACATCCAAGATCCGTCAGCGAAGAGGCTATTACATGGAACGCTGCTGGGAGTTCGGGAGACGGCAGCATATGATAGTGTGAGGCGGCAAAACACCGGTGAATAAGCGACAGCCAGGGTCATATGCAAACTGCTTCCAAAGTGAGAGGGACCAGATATATGGTTACAGTGAGACGGGGCCACGTAGGTACCATCAGATGTGCAAACAAAGGGAAGCTGGTGAACGGTAGTGAGCTCCGGAAATGGATAGAGCAAGACAAGCTAACAAAACCGCCAGCATCAAGAAGACCGAACTCACTTCAGTCGAAAGTATTTGATGGGAGGGGGAGACGAGTGTGGTGGTGTGATACAGAAAAGAGTGTGTTCCAACGGAATATTATTCTCACATATTCCCACAGTTCAATACTGCATTAGCTACAGAATACAATACGCATTTGAATATTCTATTTCACGTTATTAAATGTAAATCAAAGCCACACACTCAATGATTGATTAAAAAAATATAAAACTATATATATATATATATATATATATATATATATATATATATATATATATATATATATATATATAAACAGCGGTTTAATCACTTGGAAATATGTACCTTGGCTTCCGTGTCTTATTTTCTATTGTTACACTACGATTTCCCGGCCGACAAATGCTACCTTGCCATGGTGGTCGGGCTTGAATACCGCAGTGATCCGACAAGCTAAACTGGCTGGGACTCGTGTCCCTGCAGGCCCTACCATGTCAGGAAGGTTGTTTGGATAGCGGTTAGACTAAAAGCAGTTACCATGGGGTACATGGGCTCCAGTATCCAATCGGATCAAATGGCGTATGAACTAATATGGGTCACCGGCGACGATGGGAATGCAGCTTCTGACGCTGCTCCGCTGCGTTGCGGATTAGACTGCAAGTCAAAGGCTCGTGGGGAGTGGTCCCTGAAGAAAACCACCTGCTTCGGTCTAGGCGCCCGGGCAGTATCTCAGCCCTCACACAAGAAATGAAGTAAAACAACAAACTATTTTTGAAACTCTCCGCGCGTTCGAAAAAAATGATTTCAAGTAATAATGATGCCTCAAGTAACTTATGTTTTTCCAACCTTACTTTTATTTTTATTTTTATACATAGATCCCTGTATTTTACCTTTGCTAACCTTGACTTCATCACCTTCGACAGCCTTTCGCCTTTCTCTGGGTTCCTAGCCTATCTGTGTCGTTTCGAGGCGTTAGTGAGTAGCCCTCAAAATGGTTGTCCCCAATGTGACATCTAACACAGATATCCTGAAACCACGTGCCGCGTTCAAGCTGGCCACCTACAATGTTCGGATGCTGATGCAAATTGGATAACAGATAGGGAGGGTAAGAACACTACGATTCGCGATATGAATGACTCAAACAGTAGTATATAGTTTTAAAAATGACAATTAGTAGTGAATGAACTCACCAATTTTTGAAGGGAATATCGCTTCATTCTCCAACTGTTTTTGTATCCATATCATTAAACAATCAATATAATGAGGAGCAGAACATTTTAAAGGCTTCTTAACTGTTTGTCCATCTGCCCAATGATATTCATATTTTGGACCAGCTGACATAATTGGACAGGTGTCATCTGTACAAAATTCTATCAATGTTCCATATAACATATTGATTTGATTGAAAAAGTCTACAGCTAAAGGAAGAAAATAAAATAAAAATAGATCTGATGAAGAGTTTGATTAAGAATTGAACGACTGTCAGTAACAGTGACGTTTTGTTTTACAGAGTGGAGTTCCTAGTCTCATGCTCAGTCCAACCTTGCCTATTTGTCTGGTTTACGACCCGCTAGGGGAGAGGGTAGAAATAGAAAGTGAAGTGGTGTTGACCACTTCACTTATTTGGGAAGTTGTATCGGCCAATGCCTCAACGGGTTGATCGCCGACGAAATCTCAGCACGGATACAGAAAGCTAGTATCGCATACTCCAGTTTACGCCGACTGGCTGTCGACCAAAGGATGTGTGTACTCCTCACCAGTCCACTCCATTCTCCTTGATGGCTTTGAGTGAGACATGGCCATTCAGAGGGGAAGATATGAAAAGGTTGGCTGGCTGGCTGCGTTCTATTTCCCGTGTGAAATGGTATAATAGAGTGGGCAATATTGAGGTGAGGCATCGGTCGAGTGATAGGTGAGTTGGAGGGGAAATCAATAGACGAGACTGTGAAGTAACACCAAATGAGATGGTTACGACATGTGTTACGCATGCATAGCCATCACCTTCCTCGACGACAAGCGATGTTAAACTTAACTTGACCCAAATAAAGTATAATTATATTTTAATAGTTTACACACAATGATAAGTTTTGTTATTGGTAATATTTTGAGCAAAATTACTGCCCGTGTTCACTCACACCACTGTTGGAATTGTTTTATTCCAATGTTACTGATATTAATTAACTTGACTCTTTTTTAAAAATTTTAAAATTTGATTTGAACTTTACTCAATCCTATCGGTTATGTTAAGTGACTCAAAGCTGACTGAGTTCATTTTATTTTTAGTTCTTTACCTGATTAATATTTTCCGTGTTACGTAATTTAGGATCTCTTGACTAGTATTCAAAAGTTTACAACATTTTAAACGGAACATTCCTTTTGTTACTCTGAAAATGCATTATAAATCATGCTGTTTATACCAGTAGAAAGGATCTGTAACAGGATTTCATCATGAGATGACATCGGTTAGAAAACCATTGGAAAACCAACCAGGGAGTACTGGTTAGCTGTTTTGTCCCAGGAGATTGAAACTCTTCATCAGTACGTACCCACACCACGGAGTTCGAACCCAGGACCTACCGGTTACAAGGTGAGCTAGCTCGTAGACCATTAAGACACTGGGACCCGATCTAGTGGCCAGTCAGTCCATGAGTTCTAACTTCAGCCAGTTCACGACATAGTGCGACCACTAGCCAATGTCATCACTGGCGAGTATTTTTCCTCACACCTGACCTGCTGCACCCCACTGGTAACGACGTCCCACTAGAACCCAGGTAACTACTACCTACCTGAATAGGGCCAGTCGCTAGTGAGCATCTCCTTGCTATTCGTGGGATCTTGTTGAAAGGAGTAACTCTTTTTGATGAAAGCCTCTACGTCTTTTTCATGACTCAACAGAGGTTTTCAAGCTACTTAAACGTTGAGAAAGTATTATTATTATAACTATTGTTACTACTCCCGCGGGGTTCCGAGCAGAACCTGGGGCTTTAGAAGCACATCTCTATTTCATCACGTTACCCAGAAGCTAATATCTCCTAGGTCACACGATCTCTTCTTCACATATCACCCTTGAGTTGACTTCCAACGCGTTTCCCACTAAGATTTCACTTGCAAACACTGAAATGATAACTATTGTTGACTCTGAATCACAAAGTCCACCAAATATCACTAAAATTGAAGACAACATAGACAAAGCCTAGGCTAGAACGAAAAGTCAGCGAACTGACAAAGATTACACAATGCTGAGATGAGTGGACTTCTCAAATCTGATGACAACATTGGGGATTACACACATGTATTGTAAAAGTATGGTAGAGGTATGCAGATGATACATTCACTTTACTTAGAACACAAGATATAGATAGTTTTTCCGAACACATCAACTCGAAGGTAGAGGCAATTCAATTCACTTATGAATTAGAAAGTCAAGAAGAGGAGCTTCCAATGTTAGATTACAGAGTAGAAAGGAAAGAAGATGGGAAGTTAAACACTAGTGAGTGTCTACAGAAAACCCACACATTCAAACAGATATTTGGACTTCTGATCATCCCACCCAATCTTTTTTTTCCTTCATGTTCCCAGTGGAACATAGGGCTCCAAGCTATAGGCTTGAAGATTCCGTAGCAGTGTTGATTTTTTTACAGGATGGGGTTGCTAGCCTCATGCCCAACCTTTCCTCCTCACCAGTCTCACTACTGGCTTAGTGAGGTAAAGGTGTGCGCCGGCTGGGGCTCGAACTCCAGACCATGTGCATGGTCGGCGAGCGTGTTAACCGCTGTGCCACTGACGCACCCAATCTATGTCAGTAAAAATAGGATTGGTGAAATATTTAAGTGACAGAGCACAAAAACTAAGTAGTACCAAGGAAAATCTAAGACAGGAAATGATACACATAAAAGAAGTCTTGAAACTTGATAATTACCTGGATATATTAGTCAGGAAATATGTAAGTAAATGTGAAAATAAATAGTAATAATAGTGATAGTAATGATAATAATAATAATGGTAATAATAATAGTGATAATAATAATATTAATGACGACACCAACAATAAAGAATCTAAGTCATCAACAGTAATTGCATACAAGGAAGGAACTTTGGAAACCACCTTACGCAGAATACTTAACAAGGCAGGAATAAAAGTGGCTGGCATTCAAACCCTTAAACTCAATTAGAATCAAGCTTTGTCGGTAAAAGGATCAGTCTTGTGGAGCCATTAAAACAAAACAATTAAGTTTATCTAATACCCTGCCTGCAATGATTTTCAGCTTAAATACATAGGTCAAACTAGTAGAACAGGGACAGTCAGACTAGCCGAACATAAAAACCTACCGAAATCTACATCGGTTGACCCAAATAAGATAAGAAATCTAGAGAATAGTTCATCTGTAGCACCCACTACATGCAGTTACACGCGACCATACAATAGAATGGGATAGGATGACGGTTTTAAAATCTAATGTAACAGAGTGGAGGGAGAGATTGATAACAGAGGCTTTGTTTATCAAATCAACTACAAATACATGTGATAGGAATGATTCAACACCTGTCCATTTGGACATCTGGAAAGTCCTACCACCCCAACGACAACGAATAGCAGAGAGCAAAGAAAACTATAAAACTCAAGTTTCGAAGTCGTGTGATTATAATTGATGTTATGATTATGAACAATAATGAATTGTGATCGAAACTTCATCATCCAGTAAATAATACTGTTTCACTCACTGTGTGATACACCAAATAAACAAACTAATATGGAATTACTTACTAACACAGTGCCCAAGTGTTACACATATATTACAATAAACCAGGGGAAAAAAGATAGTAGAAAGTCGTTAAATGACCAGAGAGCTTGACTTCGTAATCTGAGCTCCTGGGTCCTATTCATCAATTGTGGGTTTGTGGATGCGTACTGATAAAGAAATCCCTAAAAAGGATGGGGCTGAATACGATGCACTAGTCGACGAATTCAACCGTCTGTCGATTCACATATCATTTCACAAATGTTTCTGCGTCACCGTGATAAGTTACGAATTTTTACAATGATCTATAGTGTATACATGGCCAGTTTCAAATGCTGTCATCGAATGAGTCTTCGGGACTACGTGATTTACTCTTTCGAAGACCCCCGCGCTTCAGATAGTGCAAAGTTACACCAGCAAAGAGGCAACTACCTACATCAACATAAAGGAAAGACGTTAAATAACACACACAGGTGCACCCAATTAAGATTGCCCACGCTTCAAAGCAACAAACAGGACACAGTGAAACTTTCAGAAGAAAAAAATGGTGTTCCGATTATCAAAACATGCTGCCATTACATGATAATGTTTCGTTTGCCGAATCAACTGAGAATATGTGCGGCTAGATTGATTCAATGTTTGTCCTGGATATGTAAAAGAACTCTACGGTTACTGCATCAGCAATAAACATTTGAGCATGACTGACTGGTTCCAACATAGAACTTTGCACAGATGTCCCAGCAGGTCGAGTTGCCACACTCCATGTAGCACACAAAGCAAGAGAAGTGAGATAATAAACAGAAGTGTGATTCAGGCAAAACGAATAGTAATATAGAAGAACAATAGAATTTTATTAGATATTATAAGTCAAAAAGAGTGATTGCATGTGCACCAGCCATTGAGAACGATTTTGAGCCGGTCATATCACCAACTGTCTCCAGCCTCCATTCCATCTTACCATCCTGAGGAACCTAACCAAGAAGCTGGTCTACACCTCCCTACGTAACTTAAACTAACTGTTATGGACTTCATCGACAGATGAAGCCATGTTTTAGTTTGACCACCACCAGCTTTCTCTTTTCCAACCTGATGCATACTATGTCAGTCAGCTAACATTGACCGTCAGCCGAAGAAGGCGATGGCTAGGATAGGAATGCATAACATATGGTCTAACCTTCTCAATCGATGTAACTTCACAACTTCGTCGATTGATTTCCCCTTCCTTACTGATGCATAACCTCAATATAGCTTACCCTATTATTCCACTTAACATGAGAGATATAACGCAGACAACTATGATCAAAGACAGTTAGCGGGCCTTTTCATGTCTTCAACTTTTAATCGCCATGTCTCACTCTCAGTGATAAAGGGGGATGGGGCGAACTGCTTAGCAGTACACACGCGCTTTGGTCGGCAGCCAGTCGGATATCATGGCTACTAGGCCAGAGATGGTGTAAGTTGGGGTGGGGGGGGTGCATATGTCAAATGAGCCTTCTATATCCAAGTTGAGGTTTCGTCAGCGATCAACTCGCTGGCATTGGCTGATACAACTTCCTAAATAAGTGAAGTGGTCAACAGGCTCAACACAGTTGAGCATATTTATCAAGACCATCCATCCAAAGGAGGGTTCATTGCTCCATGTTACTTTCAGAAACAGAGGATTCTCAGCCATACTTGAT